CGATTTAACGAACACTATGTTTTGATAATACGAGAAATTAAAAGCGAAACAAAGTGTCAGACGCAATCCCAATATGTTGTTTCAAACTCGAAGATCTCTCAGAAAGCGTTGTGTAAAGTGTGTAAATGTCAACGGTGGATTCTTCGAACACTGACTTTAAATCATTATTATGAATTTCATTTGTTTTATTGTTAATTGTTGTAATAACACGAAGAAACACTTGGTTTGTTTCGCTTTTAATTTCTCGTATTATCAAAACATAGTGTTCGTTAAATCGATTTTTCTCGAAAATGGAACGAGATACCGAAATGAAACAAGAGCACATAAATAATGGAAAAATGATTGCTCTTTCAGGTTTTGAATCAAGTTTCATATTAGACACACAGGGTAAAAAATTATGAACTAAATTTTCGGTAAAATTGGTCGTAAGTGGCGCTCTCTATGAGCAATACTAAAATTACAACACGCATCTTATTCGTCGTTTAAAAAAATATAGTTTCACAAATTTTCAAGTTCCTAACCTACATAGTTTCAGAATAATCGCAAAAAAACGATTTAAAATTTTAACTTTCAACACCCTGTATTTCCGAAACTATCAACTTTCGGATAAGGCATATTTGCACCAATGGTCACCATTTCACGTGTAGTATCTTCAGCTTTCGATTTTCCCATTGTTAATTAATCACCCTGTATATAAAAAGGCACATCCTGAAATACTACACTTAGTTACAAACATTGGTGCTTGCCAAATTAAAAAGTGACTTAATGTTACATGATTTAGATAAATAATAGTATAAATTATTATATTATTATATTAGATAAATAGTATAAATTGATGGACGTTGCGTAACATTGTTACTGTTGGAGTAGATACGTATAATAATGTACAGGAGTTATAAAATATATCAGGATAATCAAAGTTATTATTTAAAAGTTTATACGTATAAGAATAAAAGAGAAAAGTGCTTTTTGACGTAATGTTTAATGATTCATATCAAACCTACTTAAGATTATGAAGAGGAGATATTTAAGAAATTTGCTCTGAACTTTTTCCAAATCCAGTTAGTGAGTAACAAATATTGGGTTCCAGATGATGGATGCATGCTCAAGTTTTGATCTGACAAACNTTATTATTTAAAAGTTTATACGTATAAGAATAAAAGAGAAAAGTGCTTTTTGACGTAATGTTTAATGATTCACATCAAACCTACTTAAGATTATGAAGAGGAGATATTTAAGAAATTTGCTCTGAACTTTTTCCAAATCCAGTTAGTGAGTAACAAATATTGGGTTCCAGATGATGGATGCATGCTCAAGTTTTGATCTGACAAACACATTTAAGATGCATAATATTTTTCTTACCATATAATGCAACTAATACGAGGAATATAATTTAATTTAAAATAAAAAATTACACCCAAATTTTTTAATTCAACTCTACGCAATTCTGTAACCACATTATACTCCTTAGCTTAATTTTTATTGTCATAATGCAACATTTTGATATATTCAGTGATTGTTTATTATTTTGCCATTATTCATACACGCTTGATAGATATTTTTTTAACGCAATACAACCTTCAACAAATGAAACAGAAGTGAATAGCTTGAATAGACTTGTATAAAATAATATTATTAAGCTCACATCACGATTGTGAATTCTTAGTAATCTGTTTGAAAAGTTCAAAAATTTTATCGGTATAATAGAAATTGATAATTTAATAAGCGGAATGTCGTGGAAATGTTAGATTTACCCGGAAGTACAAAATGTTATGCAGAATAACAGTTGGCAAAATTACACAAAATTGCGCAAGAACCTGTAGTTTTCTACATTGTTATCACCTCTTTTGAATATAGGTCAGAATTTGACTTTAGCTTAAATATAAGGTTTGATATTTGAAGAGCCAAATTAAAAAGTAATCTACAATATACCAGTCTCTAATATTTTTATATATAAACCAAATTTTTGTTTTTTAAAGAGAATAACCTATATATTTCCAATTTTAAATTAAATAAACATCACTTTAAATTCTTGGAAAAATATCTTATTATAGAAGGTTCCATCATTCTGTTCGATATACACTAGGCACAAAAATTAAGGGATATTACAAAAGTCCCAAAATTTTGGGTGATTTTCAAAGAGCTGTAACTTGGAGGGAAATGGTCGTAGAGAATTAAAAAATAAGGAAACTGAAGCTTCAGGTGTCTAGTTTTCCGATCTGCAGTTTAAAATTTTTTAGCGTCAGCAGTTTTTGAGTAATCATAAGAAAATCAACGGAAAAATACAAATGTTAATTTTTGCTTTCTTTAAAAAGGCCTATGCACTTCAAATATTTTTTTTTGGTAATTTCATCATAAAGCTTTTTTAGATAATTTAATTCACTTCAATTTGAGTGGTTCCGGAGCCTTGGACGATTATTTGTCGCTGTGTTATCGTCGATCAAAGCAAACAAATCATTTATGACGTTGGCAATCAATTACTCGGGAAATAATGGTCGTACAGAAAAATTCAAGCAGGGTTTTGGAAACTGCAAAGTATTCTCTACAATTCGTAATTACGGGTTTTTGTTAAAAAAAGATTTCTCAAAGTGAAAATGTTGGTTAGAAGAAAGGTGAAAAATTACATAATTAGGGATATTTGAATAACTTGACATTACTTTGCAAATAATGAATAAACTAAGGATATCGTCTGTAAGTTTTCAACCTCAAAGTGTCCTAATGAAACTCTAATAATTTCAAAACGCTGCGATTTATTTTTCCTAGTTGCCGGAATGTTTAAATTTGTCGTTTTGCTGAAAATCAATGTAATACGTAATTTTTCACTTTTTATTCAGTTTTTTAAGTAAAAAATGTTTTTCTAGCAGTAATCCATATTTCCTTCATCAAAAAACGTTCATTATTCTAAAAAAAAAAAAATGAAAAAAAATTATTTTTCTATTTTTTTTCAACATATTCACAAGATTCACAGAGTAAAAAAAATTGGTTGATTTGACGTTGCAGAGCACAATATAATATCGGGTATTGCCGCCTCTGTTCCTGATCACCGATTCTAAGCGGTCTCGCATATTAATGCACCGCCGGATACCTCGTTGCGTAATTCCTTGCCAATTTCGTAAAAGAGCCTGGGTCAATTGATGGTGATTTTGTAATTGTGGATAATCTCGTCGTCATCGACGCCCGACCATGTCTAAACATGCCCAATGAGGTTCAAGTCGGGACTCATAGGTGGGTGATTGAGAGTTACCTACCACATTGTTGACGTGAAGAAACTTTCTCGTACGTTTTGTAGTATGAAGGTGAGCATTATTCTACACGATAATGAAACGATTCCTCATTCTTTTACGCATGGGCAGGACGTGTGTTTCAAGGATTCCGGTGATGTACCTTTCGGTAGTCAATGATGGGAATGATTAATAACTGTTCTAGTGTTAATGGATACGCTTGCTCAAACCATAACTGAAGCGTCATTAAAAGCCGTAACTGGCCGCGTAAAATTATCGGTACCACGTTCCCCACGACGACGCCAAACGAGAGATCATCTGTCGTTGCCATGGCGATTCCGTTATGATAAGGGCAAGCCTCCAAGTTACAGCTCTTTGAAAATCACCCAAAATTTCGGGATTTTTTTAATATCCCTTCATTTCTGTGCCTAGTGTACAATGAAGTTACAGATCTATCAGATAAAACGTCCTTAAAATTGGAAATCACCCAACACCTAATAATACTAATATGTCATCTTTTAAAACAAGAAAAAGAATAATTCAAAGATGTAGACATTTATATTAGGAGAAATCCATACATTAAAACGTATGCGGAAGAATGGTTAAGATTATTTTAATAGAAAATACAATGAAATGAGGAAAAATTGGGACAACTATTTGCCCAAAGAATAAATCTGCCTACATTTAAAAAAAACCTTCTCTCTGTGTCCTAAGGTTACATCGTATAGGTATTATTTGTTAGCATTGCTTGAATCCAGACAACTTACCTGCAATTTCTAAATCCTTCATGCCACCCATTTCACCTTTGTATGAAAACTGGTACATATAAACGTCGGTATAGTTGGATTGTAACTTTGCATGCCTAATAACTGGGGTTGTACACGACTCATCACTGCAAAACTAAAGAAAAGTTTTATTATAGTTCCTTTTTTTCTTGGAAGATTGTTTGAGAAATGTTTTGATCTTTTGTAGAAGTCAATTTAACGGAACGTGGTAAATCGAAATTACTGTAATTTTTGGCAGGCTTCTCTTTATTTTTGGAAGTAAATTTTCTTAAACATGATAAAATAAGACAGTGCTCCACATAACAAAATTGTGACTTGGACTCAAGTCCACCGATCTTCCGAGGTCTTGTGTCCGTTCAGATTTTATGAAAGGTTAATATGCTATTTTTTTCATTATTGAGAAATTTTTCCTTTCGAACAATGTAGTAACAATTTCAACAAACACATGAAAAAGCTTAAAAAATATATGGATGTTACCTTCACTACTTGCCCAGGATCGTCTTCGAATGTTCCATCGGTGTAAATTTGTCTCAGTCTAGTGCCAGCTGTCAATTTGTTCTCTGTGGTCATATTGAACTTGTTTCTAATGAGGTTGGATATATCACTGTCGAAATATTTAGCACGCGCCTCAACATCTGAAGGATATTAAAATATCGCTTGACATTTGTATCAAATAATAAAACGTTTGAATAAGTTTTCGCAATCTTACCATCAAAATTAAATAGTGCCTCTTCAGAGTTTAAACCAATAATTATGGGAACTTGGTTTATGTTTCCTGTTTTAATGTCTTCATGAAATAAACCTGTCAGGAATGCTCCATCTAGACTAGCGTCCTCAATTACAGGCAGCCATATTAAACCTTGGCCTTCCATTAATCCAGTCTCTTTTCCAACAGCAGCCTAAGCAAATTTTGATTATAGTGTTTGATCTATATTTAGTTTTTAACTTCTTACTCATCACCAATCTATCTAGAAAATGCCTTCATTCCACTTACAGTAACTGTGTTGTCGGTTATGTTTGAAGCAGGAAAGCTTTGCAGCAGTTCTAGTAATTCCGTTGAATTATCTAAAGTGAAACTTAGATCCAAACTTCGAGCTAATTCGAAAGCGTAGAATCGTGCATAGTTTTGATGTGCCCCCTGAGCTATTGGGGTTAAACTTTGTAAAATACCACCTCTGAATAAACCTTTATTCCGTTGACTTATTAATTGGAATCCCACAGATGCCGCTCCAGCACTCTGACCAGATATCGTTATTTTTTCGGGGTCCCCACCAAATAGATCGATATTATTTTTAACCCACTGAAGTGCAAAATGTTGATCTTTTAATCCTAAGTTTCCTGGTATGACTCCATCTTCTGTTGTCAGAAATCCTGAAAGAATATAAATTGAGAATAAGATTATCAGAATTTTAGAAGTGGGTTTTAATATCATTACTTGTTATTTTGTAATTACTATTTGTTCCAAATTGTTTTCGCTATGAAATGTTATTATTTGTTTATTTTATCTTTGTTTTCAGCATATGAGAAATACGGTCCAAGTTTAAGGCACAATAAGAAGAAATACAAATACATGGTAACAATATAGGTAAAAAATTGAAAGTTATATATCAAAAGCAATGTAATGATATTATGTTAATAAAACAATGAAAAACATAAAAAGTTATAAAAGAAGAAATAACAAAAAATTGGAAAGCAAAAATAAAAATGTGGAAAATAAAATAAAAAAATTAATAAATAAAAAATACTAGAATTTTTTATGAATTCGAAAAATGACCGACAAACAGTATCTAACTATAAATCTAATTCACTGTTAAATATGTAATAGAGAACATTTCAGCCTTGTATACTTGTATTTCGATATTATTTTATATAATTCGATAATAATAATTTCACGTACATTTGTAACCTATGTCATTAAGGAAAAAATGGAATAGCAAGTTTCCTAATGCAGATCCTTGTGGAATACATGACGTTGCAATATATTAAAAAGATAATTATTTGAGTTAAAGTTACCAGAGGCTTAGAGAACCCAAAGTTTGAGAGCTTATTGAACAAAAGATCTAAACTATCAAATTGCTTAAGTGAAATCAAGATATACTGCATTCGTTGAAGCAATTATGTCTCAAATTGAATTTCAAACATAACATTTTTTTCTGTATCTTTACTCTTGTAAAATTCGTGCCAAAAGGAGAATTTAGATTTTTTGATAAAGAAATCATTGAATCATGAATTAAAAATTCAGATATCTTATAATCATTATATATGATTGACACTGGTCTATAGTTACTTACATCAACTTTCTATCTGCTGAATTCGGATATAAATACGTGTGCCAGTGGCGAAGACACTGGGGATTACTTACACTAAAAACCTCAGAATTTGGACGCTACTGAATATTTTGATAATTCTGTCACTACTAGTTTCGATTTTCTGCATCAAGCGCCTTCAGAAATACTTTAGAAACGGTGATTTTCTTTTTATTTCAACACTGTATCTCGAAAACTATGGATTGTGGACCTATATTTATGTAAACTTTTTCGTCTAAAGTCACTGAATTCATCCCATAAATGTGTGCAGATGCTTCATTAACACCCTATATATATTGAGCTGAATTTAGATGTTTTCCAAGGTTTAAGAACAATTTTCGATTGGAGCCTTAAACAACTTTGGAAAGAGTTTATTATGTCAGTTGGAGAAATAATTAATTGTAAATTAATTTTTCTTCTTAAAATAAGCCCAGAATTTTTAATTTTTTTTTTAAATTCGTTTTTTGCCCTCTGTATGAAAAAATTATAAGGTGCTATTACATCTGATTTTATCGTAATTTTTAATATCTTAAAATTGTCAAATCCTTAGTTTTTAAATAATTTTTTGCAAAATGACCAATTACTAAAAAGCGTAAATATTATAAGAATGCTTATAGAAACCATTCGTCTTATTTACTGACATGGTCCTCCTGCTTGGAGATGTTCTTTACGAAGAACCTACGTCACCAATTTTGCACTATTTCAGTTGTTTCATTATCTCTAAACTTTTAGCTCTACAGATGTTTTTTTGACGGGTCGAACTAATGAAATTGTAATTATGCCATTATTGTTATTATTTTTACTAAAAGCGTTTCATATTTATTAGTTAGGTACCTAGAGCTCCTAGACGGTAGTTTATCGTGACAACAACAATATTATTGTCAATGAAGAATCCAGGTTTGTATGACTGAATAGCACCAGTTCCAGTTTGAAATCCACCTCCGTGTATCCATATTAACACCGCTAATGGGGTTTGTGAAGCATCTCCAGGTTTCTAAAAGAAAATTTGCATCGATAATTTGATATTTGATAGGATATTTGAAAAATAACAGTAAAGCAAATGCAACTTCAATATTTTGAGATGTATAATTTTACTGGAACTACACCTGTATCAATCACATTTTTGCATAACTTTATTATTAAATAAAATATAAATGTTTTTAGCCACGAAGGCACCGCTCCTTAAGCTCATAAATATTCATTTTTTTTTTTCTTTGAATTTAACTAAATAATAGTAATAGTGATAGACATCGGCAAAAAGAGTGTGATAACAATGTCTAAAATTGTTGATATTAAAATGACTGCAGCTAATGATCAGCTAATTGTGTCTATCATTACCAGAGGAGTGTAAACATTCAAGTACAAACAGTCTTCCGTTGGGTTTAATCCGGGAATTGGTACGTAGCCGTCTCCACTTTGGTAACAAATTTTTTCATTTTTCGTGGTGTTTAATATTCCTTCCCATTTTGCTGGCGCTACAGGTGCCTAAAAGTGAATTGAAAGTTAAAAATTAAAAGTAAAAAATATATATACGTTTTTATCCTTACTTGAAATCTCAATTCGCCTATAGGTGGAGCTGCGTACGGTATGTCTTGAAATGCATAATAAACATTGTCGTTTGGAGAGTGCAGGATTTGACCTCTTATTTGTCCCTCTGGTAAAGTGACAAGTGTCGGGTCATCTACCTATTTATGAAGAAATATGTGATATTTGTGGTACTTTAACTAGATACATAATAATATCTAATAAACCTTATTGCCCGATAGACAAGACCAATAAACATTAGGACAATTACATATAGAACAATAGGTAAAGCAATAATGACTAAAAAATAGAAAAATAACAAAGATAATGACTTATGACAGAAATCTTCATCTACAATACCTGAAATGATTAATAAAATAGATTTTAAGCTGGTATGATTTTTTATATCACAAAGATGCGACACCGTATTAAATAAGTTGCACATATTGTATATCGGTGACTTAAATAAAAGATTAGTTCTTCTTCGCAAACAATAAAAAGTATCGATATTTCTAGAATTATGTATAGAATGTCAGTAATTTGAAACACAAATCTATCAATCACTTGCCTATATGGTGTACCTCAGGATAAGCATTATTATCTATCATAAAGCATAAACATTTGAGAAATTTTCTTTGTGGTTTTTGCAGTAAATCTCTATGGCATAAATATAATCCAAACAGTAGAGCAGTATTCTAGTTCAGTTCTAATATACGAAAAATACAAAATAATGAGCGACCGGATATTAGTAAACGATTTACAGTTGCGAAGTATAAAACAGTAAGCTCATAGCATCATCGACCTTGGACACGATATGACATGAAAAAGATACATAGATACATAGATATTAATAACTATTTTGTACATAAGGAAGACATTTTTACAAAACTTCGATATATTTAAGTAAGCTAAAAATTACTTACATCTGCTAAAGATGATTTCACTGCACATAAAAGTAGCAGCAGCACGTTGCACTTCATCATTTCGAACTAATAGCGATAACGAACATGTTTTTCAATTTATAGAATCTGGAACTGGTAATTTTTAATTGGCTCAAAATTCATGTGTTCTACTTTCGCACATATTTTTTGTAGTACCTACTCATAGTTTTATCTTTATCTTTATAATAATTATTTTTTTTATAAAGAGAATACAATAGAAAAAATATTTTATCAGCACTTTAAATTAAATTGGTTTTAACTGATTTCATTTTGCATGGATAACGCTCAAAAACCGGTGACTAGGCAAATTTTGAAACATTTTCTATAAATACCAAAAATAAATTTCCCATAAATCGTCAGCAAAATATTGTCATGGCATATGCAGAGTATATTTAAATGAAGGAGCTCAAATGGTACCTTCGAAATTTTATCTAACTAATATTACAAAAAACAGTGCTTATAATTCGAATTAACTAATCTATATAAATAAAAATTAAATGCTGTTCGTTGGTAAGCGCATCACTTGAAAACGGCTGGATTGATTTGGCTATTTTTTTTATTTTCGTAATAGTGCGAATAAGGTTTTTAGGGAAACAAAAATAGACATTAGTAGATGTTTGCCTAAAGGTCCCAATCGGTAATCTATCGTGGCAGCAGCGATATTACGGTTTATAAAACACTGAGGTTTGATAGGTTGTATTGTTCCACATAGAAATTGCACGCACTTGCATGTGATCCACATCTATGTGAGGTTAATAAATATAAATAAAAAAGTGCTCCAATTTAAAAGAATGAAATATTCTACAAATATGAATTTCATTGTCTTCTCTAGAAAATGGAAAATTTTAATTTTACGCATAACCATTTTGCTCCTGCTCGCTTGTCAAGCTCTTGGAAAGCCAGGAAACTTATAAATGAGATTGTAACAGTACAATGGGGTGTTTGCATATAAAGAAATTATAGGTATTAATAAATGTTATTACATTAAGATACATGAGTAAGTTTTAAGAGAAATTTTTCGAATTTTTTTTATTCCTTTGAATTATCAAGCAGATAATATTATTATTTAATGAATTGGACTTTTTGAAGGCAAAATGTCCCTTTTTTTCGAATTATGCGTAGTTTAGTCGGAAATAATTATTTTTTAAATAATGTATGGCTCAAAACAGTAACTTTTTTTAATATTTTCACATAGTAGGTGTCTTTTATAGTAATAGTTTCTCTCATAGCACGCGAATGTGACAATCATTAGTATTATTGCAATAAAACTATTATTATGAAAGATGCCTACTATGTGAAAATGTTAAAAAAAAATTATTTCTGACTAAACTACGCAGAATTCCAAAAAAAAGTATACATTTTCTGTTCAAAAAAGTCCAATTCATTAAAATAATATATTATTTGCTTGATAATTCAAAGGAATAAAAAAAATCGAAAAATTTGTGTTAAGAGTAGTTACAAAACTATCCTTACTTATAACCGATTTTGATGAAATCTATGATAGTTGTAGACCCTTATGGTAGATTATTACCTACAATTTTCTTTCCATTATCTTAATCAAAAAATGATAAGACCCCTTTGGAGGGCCATTTCTCGGTAACGGTGCTCCGGAGGACCAATGTTCATAGGAACTTGTTTTTACTATTTTTGGCTCTACTTTCACCCCCTTAAGTTTTGTAGCAACTTTTCCAAACATCCTGTATATACGTAATTTACTTATTACCATGGCTTGCCTTTGTCGCCATCCTTTTATCATCTATTCTATTTTATCACGGGTATTTGTGGGTATTATTATTACATTTCGGTTTTTTATCAGCTGATCTATCGCAAAGCTGTTTTCTTACTTACGTCACGCTTCTACTAAAACTGAAAGAACTGGTAACTTGCCACAGGCTTTTTCCAGTAATAATTCTTCAGCAAAAGCAATAACACTTTTGTGGCTTACCTTTATTTCATTGGTAAAATGGGTTTATATTAATTCGTGCAGTCAATTCATATTTTTAATCTGGGACTGTAACTGTAGTTTAAATTTCAATAGATTTTATAAAAGTCTTCACACTTTACATATTGTAAGCTGATATCTAATTTTGTTTTTAAAACACGAATTTGAAATCCCCCTCAACGAAAACTTCAGTTTGTATCATATGGGATTGTGTGAAGAACTATGTTACTTTAATATAATACAATAATTATTTTTTTACATTTAGCAAATATTTTAGTACCTTGGTACAATATTGGTTTTCCTTTTTCAATCAAAAAAATTCTTCAAGGACCTAGATTTTATGCAACATTGTAACAGAGAAAAGAAGGTGCTATATCGACTTTAACAACAATTAATATTTCTTCATTGTATACTTTGTTCATTCCATAATGATAGCAAAACAAATCTAATAGAGAATGCGATGCATATATACAAACAAAATAAATGATACAGTTTATTCCTCAAGATAGGTACATTAGTAATTAACCAAAGGAGGTATAGCATACACGTCTATAATTCTTTCCCATTTGAGGTAGTCTCTTGGGTTAGTCTGCATTTCAAGTGTATCGTTGATGTTCAAATACACCAAATTATTTGGACTAACTTTCTCCCACGTCACGTTACCCAGGAAACTGTCCACTTCTGGAGTTGGGTTTCTAAAGTAAATCATGGATAAATATTATCTCACGCGATTCTGAATATAAGTGCTCACAAGTGTTTGACAAAGTTTGACCACAGGGTTAACAAACGGTGACGTGTCGTAACATCTTCTGGGTCGTCTCCTGATGGTTCATTAGAAAGTTGCGTGTCCCATAAATAACCCAAGTCTTCAGCGTGAGCAACACCTCGAACGCCTGAAATCATATTATATGATAGTTTGCAAATATTTATTGTTAATATCGAAAATATTGACGGTGTACGTCCTAATTTTTGAATTGGTATGAGACCTTTATTTTGAGACACCGTTGTACGAATTCTTCACAGTTTCCGTCCATCCAAGAATTATCATGAAAATACAAATTTTACTTAACGACGATCTTTATTTATTTATTTATTAGTTCTATACAGGCTGTTGCATGACGTACTGGACAAAGTGAAGGTACAAGTTCCAGAGGTCATGATGAGTAAAAAAGTTATAATATACATGGGGTCAATTCTCTATGGTTACCGAGGTATGGTCCTTTAAAGTTTATAAATAAATACACACATATTTTAAACTTTTGCTGTGGTTGATTGTCGCGAATAACAATATCAAGATGACAACAACACAAAAATAACATAAGTACTTATTTACGTGATCCTCCACTTCCGATCGAATATATATAGCTTTCATTAAGGTACCCTCTTGTTAGTCGACTAAAATGAGCAGGAGCTCCATCATGTTACAATGTTATTTGTTGTCTTTTAAATATAGGGATATCGTCCAATAGACCTGACATTTTATTACGTAAAAAGTTGGTGTAAACTTCTATAAGCCTATCTTCAAAAAAGAAGAATTAGTTTGTCATCAATTATGTCACACCAGAGATTTATAGAAGTTGAGAGTTG